TTCCTTCCTTCCTTCCTTCCTTCCTTCCTTCTGTCTGTCTGTCTTTGCAAACCTCCTTCGCGGCTCCCAAGCAGACGTCCTCGCCATGCTTTGTGCTTTATGGCGAATAATACGAACCAAAGTCGCTGCCATTTGGTTAATTCCTTGAATGCTTCCCTTCCAATGGGGATTTTTGGGTCTGACTTGGAATTACGATGCCCTTGGACTAGAGAGTTGCTTGCGGAGGGAGGTGACTGCTGCAGGACCCGTGGCACCAGGACACCGGCCCCGCGCGCTGCTCTCTGGCTTAGGCTGCTTAATCAGTTCTGCATTTTCTGTTTTCTTAGAAAGAGAAACCGGGTCCTCGTCCCCCTCCAAGGCTGGACGGCTCTAGCAGAGAGCAGAGTCCTCGTCAGGGACACGTCTGGTGACACGTTCATGGTGTCTTTGGCCTGAAGAGTTGCAGAGTTTGGAGTGTGTCCTTGGCTTGGACCTGCAGACTTTCCTCCTGTCACTGCTGTGGCACGGGACCAATACCCTGACGTACTCATTTCAGCTTTTCTCTTCTAGCCTGCAGCACAGAGTGCCAGAGTTTTGCTTCCTCTTCCCCCGTGGATGTGTCTGCACCCACTCCCATGTCCCTGCTTCGATTTAGAGCTTTGCTCTTTGCACAACAGTTGTGTTTTTATCGCACTTTGGTTCTGCTCTTACAGACTTTTGCAGGACAGGGGCTGAAGGGGGAGGACACGGGGCAGGTAGCTGCAGTATTTAGTGACCTGCATGTGGCTGCCGCGAGTGGCCCAGGTTGGGTGCAAACCCGTGCCCGGTGTGCAGGACCAGCCGGCCCACAGAGCCCTCCTGCACCACGAGCGCTGCCGGGGCTGGCGAGAGCAAACGCCGCTTGCCGGGTGACAAAGAGCCCTTGTCACCGTCTCCCCGGGCTCTCCTTTAGTTAGGAAGGAATTGGGCACCTGGAAGAGGCGCCGACGCGCGGCCTGCGGAGCCCGAGCGGGCGCAGAGCGGCCGCGCGCTGGGCGCGAGCTGGGCGCCTGTTACATAACGCGCCGCTCCAAAGACACATTCTAATGATTAATTTGAGGCTCTGGCAGCTGCTTCCCTGTAATAATATTTTAAACATTACTTTTCCACTGCTGCTTGCCAGGGATCGTTATTTTGTGCTGTGGAGGCTGTAAAATTTCACTTCAAGGATGGGTTTCACTCCCGTTACCAAATGTGTCTGGAATGTGCAGATGTTTCCTTCGGGGAATAGCGAGCCAATGGGCTGTAACACATCATCCCTGCGGGGAGGACTCAACGTGCTAAGCGGCCTATTCACAAAATCACAAACAAACGCGCACGGAGAGCCCCGCGGAGCGGCGGCGGCGGCGGAGCCCTCGCGGTGCCGCGGCCGGTGCCGCAGCGCGGGCTGCAGCACAGGCACGTGCTGGTTGCGGAGGGGCTCTGCGCGGCGGCCGGCGCTGGCTGTGCCGCTGCACGGGGCCCCTCTTGCTGCTTCCTATGGAAACTGCAGCCCGGGGCCCGGCGCGAAGGAACGTCCTGCAGGGAGCCAAGGGCAGAGCGGAGCTGCTGCCGTGCGCCGCAGTTGGGGAAAGGGGAGAGATGGGGTTCAGAGGAGCGAGAAACCTTGGGTGGGACGGGGAGAGCACTGACAAAAATATGTACTTTTAATGGAACAGCCTTGTTGCAGTGGGGGAAGTTATCCCCAATGCTTCAAGTCAAGGCTGTGACCATCCCTGAAGAACATGGCATGGGGCTGGTCCCGGTTTTGTAGGAGGATCCTGTAAAATTAGCATTTCTAGGGATAAATTCTTCGGGGATGTTAAGTACATTTTTGTGATGGGAGTCTGCCTTGATCCTGCTGTGCACCACCATATTAATCCTTAAAGAGACCTATCCTGACTTTATACCCTGCATAGAAACCAAGCTGAGCTTAGCTAGAAGTGAAGACAGTTATTTATAAATAAATATGCACTGTACAGTGCTGAGGAACAGGAACATCGGTAGCTGTGAGAGCTCAGGCCAGCCAGACACTGATAAGAACACAAGGAAAATCTATGGCCAGCAAAGTTGAGAACAGTAAACTACAGGAATTAAAAAAATGATATCAGTCCATTCCTAGATGGATATAGTCAAATTATCAATGGAAATACAGCAGAGGCAGGGCTGTTTAGTAAATATTTCTGTTTTCTATTTGGAAAAAATAAAAAAAAAAAGATGATGTGTTTGTGTCATATGAGGATGATGAAACACTTTCCACTCCAGCAGTAACTGAAGAGGATGTTAAACAGCTGCTGTTAATGTTAGACCTCCTTAAACTATCAAATTCAGATATTTTGCATCCAAGATTTAATGAAAAATATGTCTGAGAAGCCCTATGGACTAATAATGTACACTTTTGGTGGACTTTTGAGCAGTAGGGAATTTCACAAAGACTGCATATGCAGTGCCAGCATGAACAGAAGGTAAATGGGATGGCACATATATATATATATTAACCTTGTGTCCTGATGATCTAGCCCAGGGAGAAGTAATTCCGTGCATAGCATGGCCATTAGAAAGGGGATAGTGTAATTAGTGGCAATCAACATGGAAAATTCACTTATGGAAAATAGATCCCATGAACATAGCTCTGCCTTTTAAGTAAGAGTACAGATGTAGTAGACGGGAGACGGTGATGTTGATGTAATGCACATATGAGTTCTGTAAGGTATTACTGCACTCTAAGTCACATATATTTGTCAGAAATTGGAATGAAAAAAATCAACACAAAGGGATTACATAGGGGCTGAATATTGTGCCTTAAATGTGAGAGTAAACCGGAGTCGTCCCGAGGCGCGGCGGCGCAGGGGCCTCGGTGGCAGGGAATGTGCAGGGAGCGGCGGCGCTGCGAGCGCCGGCACGAGGAGCGCGCGGGACACGCGGCTCCGGCGGGGACGCGCGGCCGTTCCGCAGCGTGGCGGGACGGGGTCGTCCCCAAAGGATCTGTGCTGCCCTGGGCGGGGAAGCAGGGAGCCGCGGAGCAGGGCTTGCGGTGCCTGGGTTCCACGCAGGGAGATGCTGATGCCCTGAAGGAGCCAAGGCCCGTGCGGGCAGCAGGAGCCTCCAGCAGCGTGGGCAGCGCCCGCGGCACCCCGGAAAGCTGGGAATGGGAGGCTTGGCACACAGGCACAGCGAGGCCTCTGCTCGCGGACGCAAGCTGGGCAAACTGAGAGCAGAAAGGAGCTCCCTGAGTAATCCTGGAACAGCCTTCCAAGCTGCGGTGGCTGTTTCGTGGCTGGAAATCTCTAAGTGAAGTTGGGGACTTTCTCTGGGAGAGGGTCGGTCCCTTCTTAGACCGAATGTGGGGACTGATGGCGAGAAAGCCTGTGCCTTGCAGCATGTGGGTTCTTGGCTTAAACCGTCTCCTTCCACATGAGTCACGCTCATGGCTTTGGTTGGAGCAGGCTGCCAAGGGCAGGAAGGGTTGGCGGCTCCGCGTCGTGTTCCTCCCCGGCCCCCATCCCGCTCCCCCCAGAGCAGCCGAGGTGCTGGGCAGGACCCAGGAGATCTGGGCAGGTCCCGGGACATCTGGGCAGGTCCCGGAGATCTGCACAGGTCCCGGGAGATCTGGGCAGCTCCTGGGAGATCTGGGCAGCTCCCGGGACATCTGGAGAGCTCGTCCCTCGGCGGAGCAGGGAAGCAGCGATGCTGTGAGCGCTGCGTGCAGGACACGCTGCACGGGGCCCTGGCCCCCGCGCTTGGGTTCCTGCCGCAGGGCTGCAGCTCTGCGCCGCGCTCGGCATCGTCGTGTGCGCGGAGCAGCGCCATTTACTTGGCACTATTTTTAGAAACGTCGAGTGCTAACGTGACCGCTGCGCAGCTCGGAGTTGTCTGTCTGGGGAGCTAGAGGAAAACAAGTTAGAGGCTCTGCATCTCTGCAGCACAAGCTGTGCTGCAAAACGTGGCTGCAGTTTGTCCTCGGTCACTGACAGCGCTGCCAGGTCTGGACCCCGTTGACTCTTCCAGGTCCTTCCTTCTTGTCCTTTCCGCCACCTCAGTTATTTTTAGCCTGTGGCCCCTGCTTTGAACTGAGATGTTGGTGAGAGCCTGGAACGGGGAATCTTTTAAAGGAAAAGAAATGTTGCTGGTAACACATCAGAAGTGAAGATCGTTCGTCAGACATGGTTAAAATACACACAAAAATGTCTTTCTTAAGCAGCCACCCAGGAACTTGGAACTTGCTACATCCAGGTGCCTTTGCTCGGCAGCTGGTGCCACTACTAACTTCTCCCTCCGGTTTGGACTCCGCAAGGGTCCTGCCCGGCCGCTCCGTGTTGTGCCCTGGGTTATGGGCTGCCGCTGTGCAGCCGAGCCCTGCAAGGGAAGGAACCCCTGGGAAGAAACGAGAAGGGCATTTCCCAGTGTTTGAAGGGCTGCTTTTGATCTGATACTACCTTTTCAGTCGCACTTTTTCTCAGCTGGCTTCCATTCTGAGATGCACTAGAAAAGGCGGTTTTGACCTTTAAAAGGCCTCATGGGTTCCTATCAGCCGAGCAGGACTCCCAGCGAGGGTGCAGCAGAGCGCCCCGGCACAGAGCCCTTGAGCTGCAGTGCTGCCCGGGTTGCTTTGCTGGCCTTGGGATGCAAAGCACGGCTGCCCCAGAAGGTCTACAAGGAAGGTCTATAAGGAAGGGACCATGCAGGTGTTTTCTCATATGGTGTCGGTGTTTGCAAACTGAACGTGTGCCTGGAGCTCTTCTCATCTCTGGGCTCAGCTGCAGAAGGAACTGTCGCTCTCCGTTCAATGCTCTCCAAAGCCTCCTGCATCCTGTGGACTCTGCCTTTGCCTCTCATGAGTTATGTGTAGCAGGACTCGTGGTGCTGGGGAAAATGGCATTGTGTTTTAATTGTTTCTTACAGAGAAATAACAACTGATATCCCCAGGCGATAGCGATTAGGGCAATGCCCTCCCTTCAGAATCAGTACAAACAGAATAATTCAGAAAACAGGACCTGAAAATCATCTACTTCATCCCCTGTCTCAGGGGTGAATTCATATTGACAGAACTGAAGCTTCTATTGAAAAACGTTTTAGTGAGGATGATGAAGCACTTAGTAGCTCCTCTGTGTGGCTCCTAAATTACAGTTTAGAGAGGGATCCCTTTACGTGCAAAACACCTTGTCCCGGGCTCTGGGCACTGACTGGGACATGCTCTGGGTTCCCAGAGCCCGGAGTGGGCCTCGGGCAGCCCTGTGTCGGCCCGCGGTGCTCCCTGCAGGGCATGCTGCTCCGTGCATGGATTGCATCCGTGTGGTGCATCCTGCATCCATGCACTGCATCCATGTGGTGCATCCTGCACCCATGTGGTGCGTCCTGCATCCATGTGGTGTGTCCTGCATCTGTGCAGTGCATCCGTGCAGTGCATCCTGCATCTGAGTGGTGCATCCATGTGGTGCATCCTGCATCCATGCGGTGCGTCCTGCATCCATGTGGTGTGTCCTGCATCCGTGCAGTGCATCCGTGCAGTGCATCCTGCACCCATGTGGTGCATCCTGCATCCATGTGGTGTGTC